AAGGCGGGGCATAGAGGAGAAACAATAATGTACAGTATGTGGAAAATAATGTGTTTTTTAAACCTTAAACCGCATAAACACATTTCATTACACCAAATACACAAAATAATGTTATTTTTAGCAACATCATATGACCCCTTTAATAGTAATTGACTACAATTTTTGTGTTATACAGGGACGTCAAAAATAATGCTATAATAAAATATAATATTTCTAAATATATATTATTAATAATGTATCAATAGCTATTATTATTTATGAACAACTTGAACTTTTAGTTATTTATACTTTGAACTATTTGGGTACTCAGTTACACAAATCCTCACAATGTCCGTCCCTTATTCAAACTGACTATGACTAACAGTGCAGTAGTGAACCAGAGCTCTACTAATTTTACAGATTGTGGTGTATTTCAAAACCTTTGAGAACATACAGATGGAGAGGAATTTTGGCTGAAACTACACAACATGAGAGAGAACAGACCAACGGATGGTGCTACACTGGCTGTTGTAAATATTTGTGATCTAAAATAGAACACAGCAGCGAGCCCAAGTGTCTGTCGGTGTATTAGAATCACTCAAAGATAATGGCCCTCATCTTTAAAGATTAACTGAACATGAAAAGAACGATGCCACAGACGCTCCTAAACTGTCAATCTCAAAGAATGCACAATGTAGGCCTATTAGATTGCATCTTAAAACCAGAACTAAATACAATCCTTTTGATGCCAGGATGTTGCCATGTGGTTGCTAAGGTATTCTGAGGGGTTGCTAGGTAGACACTTTCTAACCAAGGTAAAAAAAGTATGTCTATGGGATTTTTTTTAATCATCAAACATGCAAAGTCATAATTTCAACTGCTTACCTCTTCGTAATGAGATACCTTTAATATCCATATTACAAACGGTACAGGACAAATTACATGTCAAATTACATGCACGTTTTTAGTTTGTTCAAATCTCTAACCTTAAGTATGTGCAGTAGTAATAGGGATGCAGTCATTTCAATATCGGCATCAATCAATCTGTGGTACTTCACAAGTTATTGAGTGTGCAGCAATCTGTTGAGAGCCCATTTAATGATTGACTTCACATAAAATATGACTGTTGTTCACATCAGCAATTCTCAAGCCCAGCATGCTAAAGATGTAGATTGATTGCAGTCAGAAAGGCTAATGTAGAGATGCAGAACTTCAGCAGACTAGTCTGAACTAAATACATATTATATTCACAAGTTCACACAGTTCAGTCCCACTTGCATTCAAATAACAGGTAGCTCTTAAACCAAATCTCAAACAGTGAATTTCCTATCAGAGCCATTTCTCTGCAAACACACCCATCCGTTTATTTAGGCTACACTTCACTTCCTCAGGTCCCCCAATGCACAAAAGCTGTTGTGCACAGGGTCTGATCTAGGCCACAATAAGTGGATGTGTGAAATGAATAGTTTTTCATATGTGAATACTGAACCTATCGTTTTTATAGAGAAACACCAAAATTGACCAAACATAATAAAAATGTCCCACTGCTGTAAATTCAGGGTGGAATCAGCAGGGACCTGGTGATACAACATTATATCAATATATACCATAATATTTAGCAATTCTTTATGTTTAGTGCATTCAAACTTACTTATATATGCAATATTTATATAATAATTTATATTTCAAATAAAAGCTGCTCATTTCAACATCTTGTTCATGAAGGAATAGTAATATATATATATTTTCTTTTTTTTTTAATGCATTTAGCAGACGCTTTTATCCAAAGCGACTTACAGTGCGCATTCAGGCTATACATTTTTTACCAGCATGGTAAATATGATATATATATATATATATATATATATCATGGTTTCCACAAACTGTGATATTAAGCAGAACAAATGTTTTCAACACTAATAATAAAAAATAAAATGATTTTTGAGAACCAAATCAGCATATTAGTATGATTTCTGAAGGATCATATGACACTGAAGACTTGAGTAAGGACTGCTAATAATTCAGCTTTGCCCTCACAGAAATACATTTTTAAATATTAAAATAGGAAGCTGTTATTTAAAATGATAATAATATTTCAGAATATTACTGCTTTTACTGTATTTTATTAAATAATTACAGCCTTGGTGAACATAAGAGACTTCTTTCAAAAACATTTTAATATCTTACTAAGCTCAAACTTTTAAACTGTAGTGTATATTCAGCTCATTATTTTAATTTGTCCAAAATGAACAAGTAATGCCACCATAGTGTTGCTGACCCTTTTCCCAAAAAAATATATTATGAAAAATGTAGCTGACTAAAAATACAGATTTTCTGCCATGCATACAGTACAACATATTGAGGCAATAATGCAATTCTTCGAAATACCCATTGTTTTTACTCACCTCTTCTTTTGGAATACACCTTAAAAATAATTAGTCACATGATAACATAAACGCATAGTATTTGATGTTACACAAGTGTCACTATGAAACAATCACAGACACAATGACTTTTCAACAATCCTTCTTTACTGTGATGGAGGCAGTTTCCTTGCCATTCATAGCAAACATCACATAGTTTTCATTTTCAAAACAATCATCAGCGTAACACAATGGCACCAGGAAGCCAGATAACACCACAGAAAGCAATTCAGGAAACGGGGTCGTGATTGGACAGTAACGACTCCAGGGCGGGCCAACATCTCAAACAGACTCTTTAACCACAGTCACTGATCGTTCACTGAAGAATCTGCCATGTTACATAAACCATCCTCGTGTCCAACACTCAGGAAGTCAGTGCAGCTTTAAAGCTAAACAACTCAGGAATCTGAGGCAACCGGCCTGAGATGGACTCCTTCTCTGACTTCCTTGACAACTCCCAAAGGAAGTGCTGGTTTATTTCTGTTATTCTGTGACGTCCCACCCAGTCCTGAAGAACCATATCTTTGCTGTCACCCACCCAAAACATGAACTAATCTCTAGTGGCCACTGGCCAAGAAGCATCTTTTTCCTTCATTGCATTATGAATGACAGACCATGAACTGGACAGTTCTTGTTGATATTGAGAGACAACAACTGCATTTACAGTTTTTCCTAAATTGTTTTTGCTTGTTTCTCAATTGAGATTAGTTTTTGTTCACACCAGATTTTAATTGCACGTTTTGGCAAATGTGTGCAAAAGAGTAAATATAATTGTTTCCAATTTGCACAATGCCTAAATGCACATGGCTTGCTGATTAAAACTAATGAGTTTATTCTCAGTGAAACTGTCATACTCTTCGCAATGCCTCGATCATGTGAGCCATGATTTAATTTATATATATATATATATACACATACATACATATACACACAGTGGGTACGGAAAGTATTCAGACCCCCTTCAATTTTTCACTGTTATATTGACATACATACATACATATATATATACATACATACATATATATATACATACATACATATATATATATGTACATACTATATAAATATATATTTAATTTATATATTATTTATTTGCACAATTCTTAATTATATTTATACTATGCACATGAATAGACAGGTTAATAAACTTAAACAAGGGAAATGTCAATCACTTAATTGCACTCGCAGACCGAATAACCATTCAACTTTATAACAAAATAAAATAAAATAAAAGTGCATGCAGAACATCTACTCAACAGATTCACTGACATCTAAAGAGGTTCCAGTGAAACCAATGCATGTGTCATATCAAAACATCACCAACTGCAAAGACACAAAAACACTCAACCATACAAAAGAACGAAACAAAACACTATAAAACCACTGCATACCTGACCACACTTCTAAAAGCAAACTTGTCAATAATTGTCAAATGTTTTAAAACTAAAAATACAGGTAAACACCCTATTGCTGGTGGTGCCTTCATTCTCCTGTCTATAGCATATTAGCACCCTGCAAGGCAACGTTAGGCATAAAATGAGTACAGATAATGTTATTTCTCACCAATAACAATTCTCAGATGTTTCAATCTCGTCAGCACGTCCTTCTTGGGGTCCAGCACTTTCTGTGTCGATTTCCTGACATCTCCATGAGGTTTTTTAGAGAACATTCCGAGATGTTTTGAAGAGCTAATGATAATCTTCCGTTAATTCCCTCAAACATGGAAGGGCTTGTCAGATTTACGGCTCGAAAGGTGTTATGGGTTGTAAGGAAACTTGAGGAAATAGAGGTGAGGCGTGCATTTTTGCAGAGGAGGTCAAACAAATGAAAAAGCAGCAAGCCCTCCTCTGTGCGTGTGTCTTGTGAGCTACACACCTCTCTGAAGATCTGAAAACATGGCGGAGGACGCGACATGAAAAACACCTTTAATCGAGGCCAGAGTCATTCAACGCTCAGACGTCATCCAAAGCGCACTCACACATCAGGATCCACAGGACAGGAGAAATATTTCACATTCATAAAATGTGAATCTTTTTTTTTTTTTTGAGTAACAATAGATGATTGCTCTTCATATCTGACAATAAAATGTATAAGCCATTTCTAAACTGTTATAATGAGGTCTATTTATTATATATATTTTGCATTCATGTTTTCTTTAATGTTGTTATATTTGTTTAATTTTTTTTGTGTATGCGTAATTGATATACCGTTTTCTATTTTTCATTGTATTTCTTGCCTTGTTCTCTTTTTATAATGTTTTTAAAACTTTAGAACAGTATTATGTAATTTTGAATATAAAATATACTTTACATTATTTTATGAAATAATGAATTTAACATTTTTATTATTATTTTATTTATTATTATTATTATTTTGGTGATTCATAAGGAAAAAGTTGCAAGCAAGTAAAATGGATGAATGAATGAAAGAAGCAATGAAAACACAATAAAACTTCAAGCTTTGCCGTCACTGTTCAGTGACGGTTTCTGTTATACCTTTATTTTGTGTTACATATTCCTTTGATAATAAATTAATGAAAAGTAAAAAAAAAACTTGACAGAAAAAAATCGAAAAGAAAGAGGGTTATTTCATAATGTTTGGAAATTGTGAATTATCGTTGCATTGTAAAATTGTCTGAAAATGAAATTGAGTGAACAACAACAACTCTGTTCCGAAACAAATGAAATAATAATAAACGAGAATTTATAAACAACACAATCATTTCATCCAGTCGTCCATTGATTTATACAGCCTGTTTTTATAGTCGTAAACACGCTCGCCATAGGCCGAGTGACGACGGGGAACTGTAGTTCTTTAGTCCACTAAGAACAATAGTACCCTAAATATCGGTGTCACCATAAGAACTACAAACCCCAGAGTGCTACAAGAAGCGCATATTACGCGCCAGTGTCCCTGCTTTTCAGAGGGTAGCATGCCTTAATAAAGTAAAACAGAAAGGTTTTTTTTTTTTTTGGTTACAAAATTATTAACAGGTAAAGCGATTTAATATGCAAGGGCCCCCCTTTTTGATTTAATCATATCTGGACGAAACGACAGCTGCCGGTCATTTGCAGGATTTGAACGTTTGCTAGCATGATACATCTAGATGTTTATGTATCTGTTTTGTTTTTAGCAATAACATCAAGCTAACAAACACATCTGCTCACAAAAAAAAGAAGAGTAATTTAAAGGTGAGAAGTAGTTCAGTAGATTTCTCGGTAGTCATAGTTTAAAAAAAACGGGATGCCAGTGCACTCGAGAGAAAAGAAGGAGAGTGTTTATGTATCTGTTTTGTTTTTAGCAATAACATCAAGCTAACAAACACATCTGCTCACAAAAAAAAGAAGAGTAATTTAAAGGTGAGAAGTAGTTCAGTAGATTTCTCGGTAGTCATAGTTTAAAAAAAACGGGATGCCAGTGCATTCGAGAGAAAAGAAGGAGAGCAACCATGAAGAGATGGAGGTGGATTTCGCAGAGCAAGAGGGGAGCAGCTCAGAAGATGAGGATACAGAGAGCTCTTCTGTCTCTGAAGATGGGGAAAGTTCAGGTGTGAATCAGACTTTTGATTTTCTCTATGTAGATATATATATAGGAACATATAGATACATGTAAAAATGCAATACAACAAGAACCATGAATATTTGAAAATTGAAATAGAAAATATGCCGAAAATTGACTCACTTGACTTGAGAAATTTTGCATTAGGTCACTTGCGAACTATTGGATCCTCTGCAGTGAATGGGTGCCGTCAGAATGAAAGTCCAAACAGCTTCAAACTAAAGCGGAAGATAATAACATCACAAGTAATCCACACGACTCCAGTCCATCAATTAATATATTGTGAAGTGAAAAGCTGCATGTTTGTGAGATTTTGTTTATTTATTATTAAATAGTAACTTCTGGTCAAAGTATAAAAACATCACAATAATCCATAAGTAATGCATATTTCTCTTCTGATTCAGACGAGATGACTTTTGACAAGACATATGGATTACTTGTGGATTATTGTGATGTTTTTATCAGCTGTTTGGACTCTCATTCTGACGGCACCCACTGCAGAGGTTACATTGGTGAGCAAGTGATGCAATGCTAAATTTATCCAAATATGTTCAAATGAAGAAACAAACTCATCTACATCTTAGACGTCCTGAGGTTGAACGAATTGTTAATCCCCCCCCCCCCCCCCAAAAAAAAAACTGGGGCAACAAATCACATAACTAAAATAAAAGTGAAAATATAAAGTACCATAAACAAATCACAACAATATAACAAATACCTGACTAGAAAAAAATCAAACATAAAAATGCAAATGATTCAATCAGCATCATTATTGCAGAAAAGGACGAATATCAAACTCTTCGATAAGACCGTTAGGTGATAATGTGTTCAAAGTATAAATCCAATAGGCTTCACGTCTTAAAAGCAAATTGTTGATATCACCCCTTCTACAAGGTAGTTTAACAGCTTCAATGCCAATATATTGTAAACTCAATGTTTAAATCTTGCAAAATGTTGTACTACTGGACTTCTAGTGTCATGCAGCCTAATGGCACTTCGATGTTCGGCAATCTGCATTTTGAGTTGTCTGCTTATTGTTCCCACATAACAGAGTCCACATGGGCAGCGCAGCATATAAATAACATTAGAGGTCTTACAAGACATCATTAACAATAGTTGGGCACCGTCATTGAGGTTTTTGTTGCCCGAAAGATGCACACTTTTTTTTTGTGAACTACTCATTTAAACAAATAAAGAAAGAAACAATCTGTTTATTTCAGAAATGGACGATGAGGATTGTGAAAGGAGAAGGATGGAATGCATAGACGAAATGACTAATCTAGAAAAACAGTTCACTGACCTCAAAGACCAGTATGTACCGTCCTCTTGTTTGTATTTAATCTGTGCATGAATTCAATGTTATTTACAAGTGCATACATTTTTTTATTTTTTTTTTACATTGGTCACTAAGTGTGCATGCTTTCCTTAGGTTATATAAAGAGAGGCTGAGTCAAGTTGATGCCAAACTTCAGGAAGTGATGTCAGGAAAGGCACCAGAGTACCTGGAACCCCCTGCAAATCTTCAGGAGAACATGCAAATTAGAACTAAAGTTGCAGGTCGGTCTGATGTCTAAACTGAACATGGGATTATTTATTGTTCTTTGAAACTGTGCATTTTGGTGCATTATTGAAACAATACATTCATGCATAGGTATCTACAGAGAATTGTGCTTGGAATCAGTGAAGAATAAATACGACTGTGAAACCCAAGCAGCGTTCCAGCACTGGGAGGTGAGTTTTACAGATGTAATCCGCTATTACCTAAACAACGGTGCATGTCTGAAATGTCTTGCTGAGTCATCATAACAGAGCCATACAGGAGTATTATTATTGTTTGATCTAACAGCGCTAAAAGCCTGCCAGTTACCACATTAAAAGCATGCATCTATTTAAACAAACTTTCAAAATGAAATACAATTCCAATTTGGTTCATTTGATCTCTTCTAGAGTGAAAAACTGTTATTATTTGATACGGTTCAAAGTAAACTAGAGGAGAAGATCAGACGCTTGGAGGAAGACCGTCACAGCGTAGATATTACCTCAGGTATTGGAATTGTGAATACGGTCACAAATAATATCGTTTTTTTGTGTTATTTATATACAATCTTTGTCATATTTCCCCTACAGAGCTCTGGAACGATGAGTTACAATCAAGAAAAAATAAGAAGAAAGATCCCTTCAGTCCAGACAAAAAGAAAAAGCCTGTCATTGTGTCAGATATCCTTTACTACAACCAATTGTACTCCCCTATAATCAATCTATCCAGAATTTGCTGGATCATTTGTGAGTTTCTTAACATGTGCATGCCCATATATAGTTTACATGCTGCAAGACCTGGATATACTGGAAGACTGGACTGCTATTAGAAAGGTTAGACTGTCAAAAACAGAACTCTTTTTATATGAAACCATTTTTATTGTGAAGCAAATGATGTATTTTGTTAATATCTTGTAGGCCATGGCAACATTAGGACCTCACAGAGTAAAGACTGATGGTGAGATCATATTTATTACTGCATTTAATTTTCATAACAACAACTGGTTAAATTATACACTACAGTTTAAAAGTTTATGGACATAGTAAAAAAAACTTGTAGAATTTCCCTTTTACTATAGTGACCTTGAACAAATACGTCTGTTCTTAGTCTCTTTTGCTCTGGGCAACTTCCTGGAGTTTTGGTGCATAATGACTCCATCTAACTCCTAAGTGGTAACCTATTAACAAATTGCAGTTAAATATAGACACATCATCATGTTTGTATAGTTACAGCAGTTATATTGGCTTATCCTATAGGTGCTTTATTATGTAATGTTCAAGTTGTGTTTTGTTACGTTAGTAACAGTAGAACTTGTATAATTTGTTGTAGTCTCTTCAAAGAGTGACAAACACCAGCACAATGCCCGCTCAGAGGACGGACGCTTGTTTTACGACGGGGAATGTTACAGCCGTGGACAAGCCATATGTATCGACAAGAAAGACGAGTATCCTACGAGGTGAGGGATCCTGAATTACCAAGCTCATATTGATTATTTTGCAGCACTTTTGAGAGTTATTTTTCTCCTGTCTTCTGTTTCAAACAGCGCATTAATAACTACAGTCAATCATGATGAAGTCTGGTTTAAGCGAGTCGATGGGAGCAAGTCAAAACTCTACATCTCACAGCTTCAGAAAGGCAAATACACCATAAAACATGCCTGATCTACCTGAGATCTGATTAGATGTCAGGATGGCAGTCTGACATGTTTAATAGTGCCATTTTATGTACAGTATATCATGATTTAAATACCTTTTTGATGTTTAAAAACATATGTTGGTGTATTGTCTGTCATTTGAAATGTGAGGAAAGTTGATGTTATTTTATTATATATTCAGTGCAATACCATTAATAAGATTATTGCACCAAACAGGTCAAAAATGTAGTATAATTACTACCATGAAATGTGGGACTTTTGTATTTCGATAACTGGGCTCATTTTCCATTTTAGTTCTGCTCAGTGGTGTTTGAACCCAATTCTAATGAGTAGTAATTTCTAATGCCATGTCTGGCTACCAAATGGTTTCCTACTTTTTTACATTTCTGCCTCATCACTGTGTTCCGATACAAATGATATGCCACAATTTGCATTTGCCATTCTTGGTGGCTTTTTTTTGTAACAGTGTAATGAAATGGTCTTGCTTGTGCGGCATCTTATAAGAAAAAAAGCTATTTGAAGTATGTTTAGGAGTGAAAAAACAAGACGATGTTATCACACCTTTTCAGAGACTCTGAACAATCAGCTGTTTACTGTTCAAGATGTGATCTTGCTGCTCTATTTACAGTCTAAACAAGCCATAAATGTGGTGAATACTTTATATAATTCATTGTAATGTGCATTTCAGTTCTGGTCATTGGTTCAGTGTTCTTTTCTATGTTGGGTTATAGCACCACCCTTTGGTTTTTGTTGTACTGTGCCTGTTGTTTTTTATGCCTTTTTTTCTTGATTCATCCATACTTTTGAAAATTCTGTGCTGAATGTTGTTTTTTTCCAGTTATGAATTTACATTGAACAGACTTTAAAATACAGCATTTTGATATCATAGAGCTTTGTTGTCCTTTATGAGTGACACAATTCCATATGTCTAATTAGAATAGAAATATCATGGGTTTAAAAAATTGTAATTTTGTAATGGAAAGTTGTGTTTTAATCTTTAAGCTTTAATCTTTGCAAAACTAATTTAGTGGAATGACAGTAGTATCATTTACTCATGTTTGCCAGAGAATTAAAAATCGTTCACCCCAAAATGAAAATGTACTCACCCTCAGGCCATCCACGGTAAAGGTGTGTTTGTTTCTTCATCGGAACAGATTTGGAGAAATTCAGCATTACATCACTTGCTCACCAATGGATCCTCTGCAGTGAATGGGTGCCGTCAGAATGAGAGTCCAAACAGCTGATTAAAAACACCACAACAATCCGCAATAAATAAAACTAACATTATTTAAAACAAATTTAAATCATTGATATATCCCGAGTTGTGTTCTCATGCACCACACTGTTTTCTGCTATTTGCTAATCTTAATATCAATAATCACGATTATACAAACTAGGTTGACAGATAGATGTACTTTATTCATCCTGAAGGGAACATTCAGATACAATTAGCTTGATGATGCTGTAATTTTAATACAATGCAATCTTTATACTGTGGCCAAATGTTGCAGCATAAAAATAATGTAGAACATTGAGAAGCAGGAACACATATTTTACAAATGCTGCATTAGAGTAAAAGCCACTCATGACTGCTTTTGGGTAATATGTTATAATTCTGAATACAAAAATCAGATGCTTGTTATTAATACATTCCCATTAATGTGCATATTATAATTCACTGAGAGAAACACTAGGTTAAAAGGATAGTTCACCCAAAAATGAAAAAAATTGGTTACCCACATTCTTCAAAATATCTGCTTTTGTGTGCAGCAGAAGAAAGAAATTCAAACAAGTTTGGAACAACTTGGGTGGGTAAATGAAAACAGAATTGTAATTTTTGGATAAACTATCCCTTTAAACAGACCACCAAAGATAACATTCAAGTGTGTAAGTAATAGACGGATAAATAGACATGACCATGAAGAACAATAGATTTAGATCTCAAAAACTGCATGAAAATACATAGCCCTTCACTAAAATGCTTTTTGAGTTATGCACTTTTATGGTCAGAAAACATGCAGCATGTATACATGTGTAAAAGCAAATGTACTGCATTAAAACTGAATTTTGTGTTACAAATATAAATATCCACTGGCATTAATTTCATGGACAGTACTCGACAAAGACTCATGTGCAGCCTTTGTTGTCAGAAAAAAAAGGCTACTTCATGAGTATCACAGCAAATATTCTTTAACGGAAGTTTTGAGATCACAGTTCAATCAAAATACTGTTAAACAGATAAAACCTCATTGATGCCCAAAACAATGTTCTAATCAAATAATAACAGACATGAAAAAGGGAACGAAGGTGTGTTCTAACTCTAATGCTTTAAAATAAATTTTAAGGGTACAGGACGTACAATATGTTAGTTATTTGTTATACTAGCCTCTCTGAAGGACAGACCTTCTATAAACAGATGTGGCATTAGTGTACTTGAATATACAATAAACCATTCTCCAGTGTAAATGTCCTCATAAAGCTGAGTCTGCACTATATTTCGGTTTATAATATCTTTGCAAAAGAAAGAGTGATGCAAGGTCCATACAGTGCTGTCTGTACTGTCACATGATGAGCAGCAGGGCTGGGGTTTCTGAGCCGTCATTCTACCGAGTTGTGAAGCACTCTTGACCATTTTTCCATTCCCGTCTTGCCATTTACACAAGCAGTCCCAGCTGAAACCGCTCTATGGCAAGCCCAATGCAGAGGACAGGTGCAGCAAGCCTCTGACTGTTCACGCAAATTTCTTCTTGGTTGCAGTGAAACGCTCCATGTACTGAAGAAAACAAAGATTAAAGCAAGTCATTATATGACAATGCAAGAAAGAAAAAGTGTAAAAAATGTAGACTGGCATTAGATTCCTAAATCACGTTTAAGGCTATTTATATAACGTATGCTACGGGTCAAACGTTTGGAATATTTAGGATTATTTTCATGTTTTGAAATGTGATCTTGCTCACCAAGGCTGCATTTATTTGATTACAAATACAGCAAAAACAGTAATATCGTGAAATATTTTTACAATTTAAAATAGCTGTTTTCTATTGTTAAATTCTAAAAATGTAATTTATTCCTGTGATGCAAAGCAGACTTTAGTGTCACAATCTTTCAGAAATCATTCTAATATGTTGATTTGGTGCTCAAGAAACATTTCTTTTTATTATCAGTGTTGAAAACATTTTTCTGCTTAATATTTTTGTGGAAACTGTGATAGACTACCATTCAAAAGATAGTGTTAGCATAAATGATCTGCTCATTTTGGGAAATTAAACCAGTACTTATAACATGATTTTCATAAAATCTTTAATGTGTAAAATCAAACTCTTAAAGCTTTCAATTGATGTCAATGAAAATAAGCAGATTTGATTTTGAACAGAAGATATAAATAGATTTACCTGGTTATACGATTGAAATTTCACTCATATGTGAGTCAAATAAGAGGTCGGATTGAATTTGATATTTGTATAGCCACTTGGCCCTGTTTTACACCTGGAAGTAAGATCTGTTTTAGGCAAACTAATAACAGATGGACTAACTAACTAGAGGTTTAAACTGGGTTCAAAATGTTTTGAGATTTAATCGATCAAACTACATTCAGAATCAACAACACACAAAACTACATCACATCAGCAGTGTAAACACTAATTTGTCTTGAAAATTATGCTTGAAACAGTAAAATGTTCTTAGATTAATACAGGATTATATTTGGGGGAAATTATATTTGAGTTTTTTTTGTTTTCTTTTTTTAATCCCAGGTGTAAACATGACAAGTGCGATACAAGAATAAATCGGAGTTGAACTGTGAATTTCTCAATTCAGAGCTAGTATTATCTCTTCCTTTCCCTGCTTCTAGATTTTGGGGGATTTGACTTTGTTTCAAAAACAAATAATTAGACCACTTTTGTTTTACATTCAAACTTAAACTGTGGTATTTTCCATCTTGGAAAAACATGTGATATTTATAGAAGAGGATGAGACACACAAAATTGACTGTTAAAGGGATAGTTCACCCAAAAATGAAAATTTGATGTTTATCTGCTTACCCCCAGGGCATCCAAGATGTAGGTGACTTTGTTTCTTCAGTAGAACACAAACAAAGATTTTTAACTCAAACCGTTGCAGTCTGTCAGTCATATAATGTAAGTGAATGGGAATCACGGCTTTGAGAGTCAAAAAAACATACACAAACAAAACCAAATTAAACCCTGCGGCTTGTGACGATACATTGATGTGTAAAGACACAAAACAATCGGTCTGTGCAAGAAATGAACAGTATTTATATCGTTTTTTTACCTCTGATTCACCGCAATGTCCGAACTGTCCTGAGTGCGTTCGCATCTTCTTCTTCTTGCTTTACGGCGGATCGCAGACTTATAAGTGCATTACCGCCACCTATCTCTCAAATGGACCATTGACACTGTATCTACAATCTCAATTAGGAGTGTAATGTTAGTGTTAATTTGGTTTTGTTTGTGTATGTTTTTTTGACTCTCAAAGCCCAGTGAATGATTCCCATTCACTTCCATTATATGACTGACAGGCTGCAAAGGTTTGAGTTAAAAATCTTCATTTGTGTTCTACTGAAGAAACAAAGTCAACTACATCTTGGATGCCCTGGGGGTAAGCAGATAAACATCAAATTTTCATTTTTGGGTGAACTATCCCTTTAATACTGGACATGGAATATAACCTGAAAAACAAAGCTTTTTTTTCTTATGTCTTCTTCTAAAAGACATAAGATTTAAAGATATAATAGTAGGCTAAACTGACACAAAATTACCTTATCATATCCTTCTAGGTCACGCATCTTTTTAACTTCAAACAGGTTGCCCTCCACGGACAGCAGGGACACCTGGGAGTCTGAGAGGATGGAGAAGGGGATAGAGGAGAGCTCCAGACAGTTCTCCTCCAGCCGTAAGACCTTCAGTCTGGGAGCACGGGACACCTCTGGAGACACTGTTGAAATCTGAAACAGAACAAACACAGCACAAAAAGTCACCCTGACACTCCTTTATCATGACATGACATTTCCTAAATGCAACAAACTAAAAAAAACTCACCTGGTTCTGATTGAGGTTGATTTCAATGGCTTGCAGTTCGGCCACTTCTGCAGGAACCACCTGGATCTTATTCTTGGACAGGTCCAGAACATCGAGCTGGCGAAGGGTGCCGAGTCCAATAGGAAACTCCTTGAAGTGATTCCCAGACAGGGTCAAGGTGCGCAAGGACTTCAGCTGACCCACCGATGAAGGAAGCTGCTTCAACTGGTTCCCATTTAAAATAAGAGTCTCCAGCTTCTTGAGTTTCCCGATGTCATTTGGTAGACTGGCTACACACATAAAACAAAAAATCATACATTAATGGAGTGCTTAAGAGTTCATATCACAGAATACAGGCTCCTCTGCAATAAAATGATTGACTATGTATATACTACAGTAAGAAATGTTTAACGAGCAGCAAATCAGCATATTAGAATGATTTCTGAAGGATCTGAGGGCTAGAGTAATGAGTGCTGAAAATTCAGCTTTGCATTAAAAGAATAAATTACATTTTAAATTATATTTAAATAAGAAAGTGTTATTTTAATTGTAATAATATTTCACAATATTACTGTTTTTACTCTATTTTTTATCAAATAATCACAGCTTTGATGAGCAAAGAGAACATTTTTAAAAACATAAAAAAATCTGAATTATTCCAAATTTTTGGAATACATATTATTTATTTATCTCTCTCTCTCAAGTCTATTCAATGTTCATCAGTTCAATGGGGGATTACTCATTTCACATGCAAAGATGTTAGCCAATCACAACAGAGGTAATTTACATACAAAAGTCTTAAATGTACAGAAGCAAAATGATCCTATTTAATTCTAAGGGACAAAAGAGTGTGAAAAATACCATAAAACTATGTTTTGATTGCAAAAAAAAAAACAATACAAAAAAATAAAAATAAAAGGTTAGAATGATAAGTTTGTAAGATGGCCATATTTAGCTATTTGTCAACACTTACTCAGTTTATTGCTGCTTATAGTAAAACTCTTGATTTGCTGGAAGCCTCCTATGAATGCTGGAAGCACCTCAATTTTGTTGTTGGACAGATCGACTGTCCGCAGGTTTCCAGTGAGTTTCTGCAGCTCCTCTGGGAACTACATAATCAAAGACACGTGAGCTGTCAATAATCCACGAGGACATCGCTGTGAAGTGCATTTGTGTGGTGAATATGATTACGACAAGCCTATTAGCACCTCTGTCAAACCCTTTCCGGTCAGCTGAAAGACTCCAGTCTTCTGAGATGTTTCCAAATGAGCTTTGAGCGCACTGTTCCCCATTTACAGGATATGGATGCTGCCGAATTTGATATCAGGAAATCCACTGGAAGACTAAAATACAGTTCGATAAAAAATAAAGTTAGCTAGACCCTTAAATGAACCAAGGTTATTGTATAGTGACCATTATTTAAAGGGATAGTTCACCCAAAAATAAAAATACGGTTAATTACTCACCCAAGTTGTTCCAAACCGGTATGATTTTCTTTCTTTTGTTGAACACAAAAGAAGATATTTTGAAAAATGCTGGTAACCAAACAGTTGCTGGTAGCTGTTGAAACAACATGAGGGTGAGTAAATGATGACAGATTCTTCATTTTTGGGTGAACTCTCACTTAAACGCTTACCGTGGTTAGATTAATACAAATATGGTTTCTATAAAATATAATAGAATGTGTTATGAAAAACAGCAGCTTAAACACGCTCTAACCCTAAGAGTTGTGATACACATTTATTAGATTCATTCACTGACTCAAATTATTTATTTATTTATCATTTACAAATTATTTAGTAAAAACCTACTTGAACATTTAAGCTAAAATCTTATAGTTAAAATAGTTGTTACCATAGAAAATAATACAATCCATATCGCAATTGCGTAATTTCTGAGCTGAAAAAAACACATATAACATTGAATAATCTTTCAGCAGTCAAAAATCGGAATATGCGCGACTAAAAACCACGTAAAACGCTCGGCCTAACATTGCATATTATTTCACAGTAACATTTACCTTAGCCAGCTAGCTCGACTAGCTATCTGTAAATCCAGTTTGACAATGTGTACAGCAGGAAAAGTTTACAGAATCACACCGGCAGCTTCAGCTAAAGAACATTCATTAAGCGCTTAATTAATGTGTAAAAAAAGTAATTAAATGTTATCGGATGGTGATCTAAGTAACTTTGTCCATCCCCAGGTTGAGGTTTGTTTATGTAGAAACAGACATAATTAATTCTCCTGCGTGTAATTGCACCTCCCGTCCGCTGGACGGCGGTAATAGACAATGTATATTCCGTTTCTTATTCTGTATGTCGCCACTTAGTGGCTTGGCTGTGAAAGGGCTTCATTTTACCGTCGCTCAGTTACAGCCTGTGACTTCTAAATTAAAATGAAATAAATTAAATCCCTTATAAAAACTCTCCCGTTATTACCACCAGAGTTCCATATTATAGTCCACTCCAGCTTGCATCTTATTCACTGCACTGTTCATAAACAAGACTGCAGTGTTGCAAATTTAGACTAAATTGAGCTGCCAGACTGTTTTTAATTAGCTACTTTTGGTTGATTTTATGTTTGATGATATTTCAAAAAGCAAACTAAACAAAAATCAAACTATCAAACTTATCTAACAGGACTCACAATAGAAAAAAACAACAACAACGTGGGATTTGTGCATTATATATTAAAAAATGATATGGCACTAAATTATGGGAAATGCCTCAGCTGAAGCATTCAGAATAGCTTTGATTTAGTTATGTTCTATTTGGATGACAGTGGTGGCAAGATGATTTGTTGTAGTAACAATAACTATTATTGTCTATGACAGACACTATGTTACCATGGTGAATGTTTGTAGTGGCTGCTCAGTGTGAGTGCCAGAGACCACATCCACGTCCTAACATGTATGTGGTAAAAGATGCAGTTGTTGCTATTTAGTTACTTTATTATATAATGACTACCCACCTTACTTTTCAACGCAGAAGTAAGCCGTTTTGTACAACTAAATATAGCTGGAAGCGGATGAGACCAGAAGCCAGACACATTAAATTTACAAATGGCTGCGCTCGCTCTTTTACGGGAAAAATATGGTGGATACCTTCTCTCTTCTACTGAGGCATTGGTAAACTCTCATTAGAAATGTGTAAAAATTGCAAGTAGGGATAACTGCAGGCTGGAGCAGTGGGCGTGGTGAAAGATTAGGGTGTGCTGAAAGGAAGGGGGCGTGGATAAAAGTCTTTCTAATTGGTTAGGGTTAGTTTCTGTTGTAGCATTCACCTTTCGGCACGCCACCTTTTGCCACGCCCATTACTCCAACCTGCAGCTACCTGTACCTTTAAGGGTTGTCACAGGGACGATTTTATACCTTATTTACCCTGAAATGGTTTATAGTAGTACTTTATAAGATACTAATATGCAGCTTTTATCAGAGGTGTAAAGAGTACCTAAAAACCATTCTTGAGTAAAAGTACAGATACCTTACAGTGAAAATGACTCCACTACACGTTACGTCACCAATTCCAAAACAACTTGAGTAAAAGTCTTAGAGTATCTGATTTTAACAGTACTTAAGTATTTTACTTGTACTAAATATAGGCTCAAAGATGCACTAGCCAAAGAGACATGCCAGTGAAAAACTGTAACGTTGTGGAGAAGCTGCGGAAAGCAGGCAGAGGCAAGGATCTATGTGCTGGTACTTCATGGAAAAACTAGAACAAACAATAAGGCAAAAACCAAAGGGAACAAAGAACAGAATGACTGGCAAACAGACAACCATTACATTCAACAACTCACAAGGAACTAAAGAAAAACTAGGGCTATATATACACACAGGGGGCTAACAAGCTTTACAAGATAAGACACACCTGGGGAGACTAATCAAGGGGAACCAATGCACAAACGGACTACAAACTGACTACAAACACCACGGGAGACAGGAAGTGACA